TTTAAAATATACCCCATTTTTTGCATCCCTGAAAGTCGCCCAAATTATTTTTATAATGTTCTACAATTTTGTGTCAATAAAATTGAAATATAATACTATATATAATTTATTAACATAAGTGATTTTAGAAAAATAACTAATTAAATTAATCAAATAAATCTTACTCATTAATTAATTTAAGTAATCACTGATTTATTAAACATGTTACTTTAGCAAAAGAGAATTTCACTTATCAAGTCATGCAACAGCCTGATTGAATCTACCGAAATGACAAAAGAGAATTTCCCTTATCAAGTCATGCAACAGCTTGATTGAGGGACTGTTTGGGGCAGCTGCAGCTTATTGAATAATTTGTCAACAAGCTGATTAAAAATAATCTGCTGATAAGCTAAGTGTGGTGACTATTATAAATTTTTATATTTTTGGAAATGTCAGACCGTTGCCAGAGAGCTGTCACCGCAGCGTTTTCAAAACGCATAAGCTACCTAAATGCAATTTACCCAAACAGTCCAGGTGCATTTTTAAAACGTCACTGCACCAAATAAGCTCCCCAAAACAGACCCTGAATCTAACGAAATGAACTAATTTCAATTAAGTAAATTTAATATATCTATGTATATACATATCTATTAAACTAAAATCCAATCTAATTTCTTCTCTATCAATCTTCCTGGTTCCTCACTTCCTCTAACTTCTCACTTCGTGAGCCTGGGATAGCTCAGCAAAGCGGAGCTTTAGTCGGGAGAAAACAGAGAGATTCTACTCTTAGTTACAGTTCTAAAAATTAGCAAGATTAAGGGAAATTGAGGTGGTTGGGAGGTAATTAAGATAATATTTCAAGCATACATTTTTATATATGTGCTTTAGGTAAAATTTTCTCTTTTTTTTCCTATTACTAGTTCTCTAGTTTTTCTCTCTGTCAGTAAGCAGGCCATAGGAAGATGGAAATGCAAAGTTGGGAGTTCAAACCTATGAAAGATTTTTGGGTTTGATTATAAGGTAGATTCATACATGTATGTGTAGTTAGTTAATTGTAGTAAATCTAAACTATAATCTGCAACAAATTAATATTGAGTTTGTAGCCGCCTACGAAAAGGATAGAAGGAAAAAGGAGGAAGGGAAGGAAGGAAGAGTGGATTAGAAAGGTATCAAGAAGGTTTTATGCAAGATAGTTCATTTGAGGTATGTTCTCAAAAGTGAATTATGTTTAGAGTTAAATCGCGATATAAGTCAAGAATATCATGAATATTCTAAGGGTTTATGTATTCCAATTAGATTACACTAGGCGGTGAGCTCGAGATGAGCTTGAGGAAACTCATAAAACTACTATGTCATTTCAAGTGAAATAATTTTGTGCTAAATTAAAAATAATATATTTCTAAGTTTTTTATATGACTTCTTATGACTTATGAAAACATTTAGAGTTTAGGTATATTGATGAATACCTGCACATGAGTGTATGAATGTCGGCATTGAACTGACAGTGACGATAATTACGATTTTTTTATTGCTTTGATATAATGATCATGTTAATCAAATTTTCCCCCTTTTATATATAATTTATGATTTATCTATAATGAGTGATTGTTATAGAAATTATAATTTGGGGAATGTCACAAGTGTTGTGTTAGGTATTATTACGTGAAAGCAAATAAGTACGGATGAGAACCCTGACTTCCGGTATTCAATTGAAGATGAAAATTCAAGAATACTTAGATCATATGAGGACCGAAAGTAGAGAACCGTCGGTACCAGAGGGCTATTAATAATCGCTATGTTGAAAGGGGTCCAACCTTTATCAATAATTAATACCCAATAACATGACATAACATAAGAATAGCTGATATATATACAATTACAAGTGAAATTTCTATGATTAGATTAATGAGTCTTATGAATATGTTTATGATTACACATGAATTGATGCAATACATATTTATACAGCTGTCATGATTCTTTGCATTACATATATTTTATTTTACATATTTTATACGATTGTAGCATGTTGTGATGTGTTGTTTACATGTGCATAAGATGCATATGCTCATACAAATTGTTTCTTTTTTGTCAATAAAATTATTTATTTAGTCTTAATTATTTTGTTGAGCTTGTAGCTCACTCTATGTTGTTGACTCTCAGAAAGAAGACAGAAGCACAAGGCGAGTAATCAGAAGTGACGTGTACAGTTTGTCTTATATAATTTTAGAGATTGTACAAACTTTTGGGTACATACTTTTATTATTAGATTTAGCAGCTCTGTAGATATTATTGGTAATATGATTTTCTACGCTTCCAAATATATGTGAATGAGAATGAACTATTACTTGAAATGAATCATGTATGCTTGCGATGATTGAGTTAGACAGATTTTTTTATTCATTAGGACCTGATTTTGTAAGTCAGGATAGATGTTGATGAGAATTTGGCTGAGTTGTCTGCCCCTATCACACCACTAATGACCCTAAAACAAGAGGCAAGTTGAGTTGTGGCAAGTAAAATGGTGAAGCGTCCAAACAGCCAAATCCTGCCCTCTCAAATGTGAGCAAGCAAAAGAACAAAAATTGATGCTCGAAGATGTGAGTTCCTAGACACAAGCAAAAGTGATGCCAAATAAAATTCAAAGACAGCTATCTCAATTTAGTGACAAGATCAATGAGATAATGACGCAAACAAACATGATGATACAACTCATGCAAGAGTATTACTGCAATTCCTACACTCATTCCCCATGCCAGTTAAAAAGTATCCAGTAGTGCTCTGATCAATCCACCGGCTAGCCCCATACCTCACATCTCCCACAAGCAAGATGTCCACAAAGAAAGATCAAAGGCTAGCCCAATAACACCATCCCATTCCTCAAAATATTTAAAGCACATCTGAGAGTCCGAGTCCATAACAGCGATAACTTGAAAACAATATTAATCAGAAACTTGAGGCAATCATAGCTCCAAAGCAAGTTGAAAAGTTGGTGGACAAAATTAATTTGCATCAAACGGAATATGATTTAAGTGTCCTTCCAAAGTGTGCTCTTTTAGATTAAATACTTTTAATAGGAATGATATCCTACGCATTACTTAGCCCAAATCAAAGTAAATTAACAATGTTGATGCTCTACTCTTCTGCCAATTCGGTAAAGTTTAATTTCACTTGCTTTCAAATGGTGCGATAAACTGCCTAATGACTATTAAAACATTCACCGATCTCGAAACAATATTCAAAAAAAATATGCTAATGTAATTGTGAGAATACTATTCAAACAACCTTCCATGATGATGGCCATATTGAAAAATAATCTCAGCCAAAAGGGAGATTATTATGAAAACATTCATATATCAAAGCAACTCATTTTTGGGCTCAAATATTGATGTAAAGATAAAAAAATTAAAAACAAAAAATAAAAAAATGTTCAAGCAAAAAATGCCTTTAAGCTAGAGAAACCGATCATTTAACCCATTTCTCACACCTATTTGTCAAAGATGAAAAATATAAATATCTATAGCTCATAAATTACAAATGACATATCAAATGTATCTAGAAGATTACTCAAAAAACACTCATGCAAGTAAAGACGTTGTATGTGCCCTTCACAAGTAGGTTTGTCACAAATAGCATCATTATATTGTGGTTAGACACATAATTTGAATGCTCTACAAATACTCAACCCATGAATTGTGAACCATAAAGCGCACATGATGTGATATGAAGCCTTTCATTAGAAAAGTTCAACATAAAAATTAACCCAATAGGAAAACATAGATTATTGATCAACAAAATCCCCATTAATGATGCAATACATGGTTGTTAACAATGATCATTATGTTGAGTTGGGTCAACAACTCTACCAAGTAAACCAACATCCACAAACTCAAGTTGATGGAACCAGAAGATCTTCATTAGATTTGTCATCGTTTTCTAACATTTGCTGAAAGCTAACAATGGTATATTAATTATTTCCTAAATCAAATTTTTATCATCATAACCTTAATATTTAGAGCCTATTGATAATCTATAATTAAAAATTTACCTCACAATCAATGTGTGACTAACTATAGGTGCTTGTGCCTATAAAAAATCCGAAATCATATTATAAATTTCTTACAAACTAAGAATAAAATCTCTAGATAGTTTCTTGTAAAATCTCTAGATAGTTTCTTGTCATCTATCAAATTTATTATTACAAATTTAACCCCAAACCACTCAAATAAAAGCATCGAGTGAAATTTTTAAAGCCGTCTCACACCATTTGTTAGGAAAGATGGGTCTCAAACCAAAAGCCAGCACCACAAAAGAAAATATCAAAAATTGTATGGGTAGAATTAAGTAAACTTCTTCCACGTAGTGCAAAGATGAAATAATCCATTAAATTTAAATGAGGTACAATATGAGATTACAATTCATATAAAATTAGAGATAAAGTTTGTTGTAATATTTTATCTACAATAAAATGAGTCACATGCCACAAAAATGAAATCTAGATGTGGAGAAGAAGTTGCTCAAGTTACTCTCATATCTTCTATATTGCAAGAGTGCAAATGAGAATTTGTTTCTTATCATGACCAAGGAATTTTTCTCTTGCTATAATTGGAAATACAAGGCTTCCCTCTCTCTCTCTTTTCTCTCTCTCTCTCTCTCTCTCTCTCTCTCTCTCTCTCTCTCTCACACACACACACACACACACACATAACCCCTAAAGGTCTCCATCTCTTAAGGTAAACTTCACACACAAATCAAGATGTCAAAACCTTTAATCTCATTCAAGTTCAAAGTTAATAGCAATAATATAAGTTCCATTTTTTAAGATAACATATGATTTGTCAAATGATTTTAATAAGGCTATAAGACCAAATTCATTATAAAAAATCATTTTACCATTATGGCCAATACTGACCTAAAAACAAAATACTTCTTTATTTTATAATCAAGCGTTCAAGATTTCACCATGCAACTATTAAAATTATATTAGATTATGAATATAAAATTATAAGATACCATAAAATTACCTCCAGAAGATTCAGCATCTTACGGGTCTGTGAAAATATTAAAATGTGGTGTCCCTCTTTAACTAAGTTTTCCTGAAACAGAAAGATCAAAGAGCTTAAATAGGCTACACGCATGGCTAAGACATGGTAATCCAATAAATTGTATACAGTGTATAAATTATTCTTACCAATAATGGCATGATAAAGGATAATTTGCATGATATGTGCTGGTCCATTTTAAAAACATTGTGATTTACTGAATTTAACAAATTCAACGCCATTTCTTCCATCAAAACAAGCTCTTCACGATTTAGCATTGTGTTCATTCCTTCAAGTACACCTTCTGCAGCTCTTTTGGTCAACAGTAGCGGATGATCACATATTTTTTTTAAAATCTATTCAAAATCAAGATATGGAAGCATGTCATTAAGTATTAGGACACCCACAAATTTTCATATTTTACAGGAATATAGCATATTCAAATATGAAAAATTTTTATATAATAAATATCAAATACTTTCCACAATTAACAAAGTACAGTTGCAGCAAATTCTATCACTATGTAATATCTAACCAAACTCCAGTAACTTCTGCAACATAATGAAATAATAGATATTTGAGTTAAATAAAACAATGCCCACTAAGAATTATAAGCACGAAATAATAATCTTGCAAAAAAGAATCTGTGATTTAATTTACTTTTTTAAGTGAAAGGACAAGCAGTTTTCATAGGGGCAAGCGAATGAACATTTCATTACTAGACAACCAGTATATAAAATAAGCCATCAATTAAACTACAAAATTACAATGGGTAATCACAGTCCTAGTGAATCTTTCACTTAAAGTGGAGACATTATAAATCAAAACATATAAAAGAAAGCATAGAAATATTGTGTCTCTATTAGCCCATCTATTTAAAGGCAACCAACTCAAGACAAAGCAACCAATAGCATGTAGAGATATATATGTACAGTAGTGCCAGCATCAATATGTTTTTTTGGTATTTCTTACTAACTTGACATAGAAAATGTAAAACAGACAATAAACCTATGGATATAAAACCATCCAACTTGATTAGATAGTAGTACATAGACTGTTAACCATAAAAAATAAATAAATAAAGATTAAAATATATTACCTGCTCCCACCCCAAGATGCCTAGCTGCTCCCACTCTTTC